ATCGAGCTTTTACCAGAGAAGCACGGGCAGTACAGCTTGGCCCTGCACCTCACGGAAGCCGTGGAAGCCATCTCTCTCCCGCCTTCATGACACTCGTCTCCTGCACACAGCCTAAAATCGTGTGACTATGATACGAATTAGTGCATGGTTATTTTACATAGTAAGATCTGGAGTTTTATGGAGGGAATATGTCTTTTTTTTTCTTTTTCTTCTTCTTTTGTAAAATAAATAAAAATACATATTACTTTTAAAAAGTGCAGTTCTGGCTAAATCCTACTCCTTTGTTTAATACTGATAATAAAATACAAATGAGTGTTCATTATACTATTAATTCCCATGGCAGACATTTTTCTGTTTATTTCTAATTCAAGCACTTAAGTAGCTTTATTGTTCAACTTTGCTGTTTAAAAATTGGTTATAATTTACAGATTATGTTATTATAAGATTCTATATACTTTGCACTCAAAATGTAATTAAATTTAAATGTGCTCATGGATAGTCCCCATTAGTAAAATCAGAGAAACATCCCACTCTCTTTTAATAAATGTTGGGAAAACGCCTTTGTTATCATGCTTAATCCCACACTGGACTGGCCCTGGAGTTCTGGATGCTGACAGGTTTCTTCCCCAGAGGTCATGCTGTTGCCCTCCGAGGATGACCTTGCTCGTGGAGGAATACTGGGTTCGAGATCATCACATTCACCAGAAGGGACACTAAACAGAACCACTAACCTGTTGTACTTTGCCAAAGCTGAGAGTCTGAGATCCAAGCAACACAGCAAGTTAATTACAATGCAAGTTAAGCCTTGCTTTTTGCCAAGATTCAAAGTTGTATCCACATCAGGTAACTGTAAAAAATGTATTATCTTGTAAAACTTATGTTTAAAAAAAAAGGGCAAAGATGCTAAAAAATTAAGTTCAACTCTATTTTTCTTACAAGTGTTTAGAGATGTCTGCTTCTGGGATTTGGTAATCTTACCTGTTCTGAGGAACAGTACAGAAAATGCTTGGTGATATGACAGCTTTAGCAAACCTACCTCACAGCTGGGTTGAGAGGATAAAATACGACTAATTTTGTACCCTAGTGTGCCTAGAGCAGTCTGAGTACCGAGTAATTCTTTGTTGATTAAAACCAGATTAACCAAAACTCTAAAAAGTGCTTTGAGCTCTACAAATCCCTCGTATTTATTGTGGTAGATCTTTGGAACGTAGCCACACAGTGTGAGCGCTGACATCTGTCCTGGGTCACAGCTGTCAGTCATAGCAACTCACGTGACGCAGGAGTTTGTTTCTTCACTTCCTTGTAAGAAGCCAACTCTAGCAACCGTATGAATGTGAGGGGTTATATCAGGAATATAAAGAAAAAGTCTGCTGTTTGAGGATACCCCAATGTAAAAATTCTTTCTAAAAGAGATCACATCTAAATAAGAACTGTCTAAAACTTAGTAATTACTGTTTAATTTAAAACCCTGACAGATAAATTTTTAAGACGTCCTGCGTATCTGGGGTGAGGGCCTGTGCGTCTGACCGAGGCGCACACCGTGTGCAGTACGAACGCTGAATAGGGCCTCAGGCTGGTCCAGCCTTCCTGCCTCTGCTTGGATCTCTGACACATTGATATGATTTCTTGTAAACGTATCTAGTTTCATATAGTAATTTGTTATAGGGATTCTAAAAGATTAGTTCTTTCTATGACTTTTCTAAATAAAAGTAGTTATGAGTTTTGGAGGCTGGTCAAGGAAACTTGGAATTATAGACATTTGTAGAGATTAAATCCTCACTTTGATTCCATTATCACTTTCGGGGTAGGGGTTATTAAATAAGCATTTTAAGTAATAAAACTGGCTGAACTTACTCTGGTAGGACATTTAATCAAATCTGGAGATTGTTGAGAATATTAATAAGCTGAAATGTGTCTCCTAGAACCATAAAATCATTGAGTCTCTAGTTAGATTTGTAATCCTAGAATTTACCATTCAAAGAATTTTAAAATTGAATTCTGAGTTATGTGATTAAGAAAAGCAGTTAAATATTTTACTGTTTCATTAAGGGCTTTTAAAACAAATCTGATAGAGGGAAGGAAAATAAATTCTTGTATCCACGAAGGGCTACAAATAAAAGAATTAGACTTTATATCGAACAGCTGGTGTCTGAAACAGAGGAGGCTGCGCTGACTGCAGTTAAGAGTGGGAGGCCAATAACCAGGGAGCAGTGTGTCCACAGATGCACTCTCACTGCCCATTACACCTTTCTTCATTAACGTTAAATAGGCATTTTGCACTTAGTTAAATTTTGTTGTATAATGCAAAGGAAAACAAAGGGTTCAAATAATTACAACCTCAACATTACAGGTTGTGCTTAGACGTAGAAGGTACAAAAGACAGGATAAACGCAGATGAAGGGGAATACTGCACCAAGCTCTAAATGCTTCCTAAGAAGAACGAGACACGGAGAAGAGTTTCACCTTTGTTATAAAAATTCATCTAAGGTCAGACAAACACTGTTAGATTTAAACTGCTTTCTTTAAAAAAATGATCACAATTTAAAATCACAGAAAACCCAGATTTAGTAACACCAAGTGTACATGGAGTAAGTTCACTTAGCAATTGCTGTGGTTCATTTATAACAAATATTTTTCAAGTACTCAATAGCAACAGTGAAAGCCGTCTCTCACCCTGACATGAATGGATTTGTTGTATTTCCGCTGCATAGAATTAGCCATCCCTAGGAAGATTTTAATCCAACACTTAATTGTTTATAAAATGGCCTATTACCTACTGTAATGTATTGTAAGTAGTCAAATTCTGTATATACTGCTATTTTCTGTGTCTGTTCATTGTTGTGAACTTATGTATATTAGTGAAATAAATTTTCAGCTTTCATGTTGTTTCCTTAACATTTATAAATATAAGTATTAAGATTTTTCCCCCTCTTTAACAAGTTTGGTGATGTTTTTCTTTCTGATGCAACCAAAAAACCTAGCTGTTCTGAAAAGGTGGATGTTTGCTGTTAAGACAATGTAATTACTCTTTTCATGCCTTAAGGGGAACACACCTCTGCCATTCCTCCTCTTCAAAACCACATTTTGTAACTTGATAGTCCCAACTTCCACAACGTCAGTCAGTAACTTCCCAGGTGCCTTTATTTTCAGACATTCTAGAACGGAAATACTGAGTCAGGAAGATTTATGAAATATGAAGCACTTTGTGCTCAGCCCCCTTTGTAGGCAAGCACCGGAGTGTCCGTGTTCTGAGTAAACCCACAACGGATCCACCTGCATCTGTACATTCTCCACATGTATACACACAGTATGTTTCATCTAGTTACAGAAAAAGCTTGTAATTCTGACTCTCACGCTCACCCTCTGCCATTTACTCTTCCACTCATTACCGGAATCCCGGATGTCTGCCCAGTGTTGTCAACAGCCCATCTGAACCGCCAGTCAGGCCCGCCGCGGGTTCCCGCTCAGCCGTCAGCCCGCAGCGAGGAACTACTTTCCTCTCACGACCTCCGCGCACCGGGGACAGAGCGTCTGCGATGACTCAGCCGTGTACTTCCAACAACGAGGGCATTTCTCCTTGGTAGTTGGCATGACAAGTACTTTATATGAAGACTCTTCACGAATATCACCACCTGTGAAAGAAGAACACAGGAAGAGAATTTCTGACAGGCCACTGAACTTGTGCGACTTTCTGAATTGGTTTGCAGGTGCTCCTTGTTCAAAGCTTCCTCCTTCCTGCCTTGGAAAACACTGCTTCGTGTGCACACCTGTCCATAAACAGCCAAGACCACAGAATCACAGCCTGACGACTGAAGGGAGCGGGGAATCTGAGGTCCTGAGAGCCGGGCTGGTTTCTCCCCAGGGCACGGAGTTCTGTATCTCCTCAGGCAGAGCGGACCTTCCCGCTGTTACCCCGGGTACAGCTCCGATCAATTACATTGCCTCTCCAGCTACATACACACTTGGTAAGAAATTTTAAAAAGAGCCAAATTAGAGTGAAAACTGCAGTGTCCCCACTTAACACTTCTCGATTTGGACAAAAGGGAACAAACATTTCTCCGTAATTCATAGACCGCAGACTGATCATATATATAGTAAAGAAAGTGAATTATTTTCTAGTCATTCCACAAAGTACTTAACTTTGTAAAAAGCAAATCAAGGCAGAATCTTTACTACATGGTCAATGCTGCCAGGCCTCAAATTTAAATCGATGCCTATAAACTAGCCTCCCACCTCCTGCTGGTACCTAAAGGCTATTATGAGAAACACAGACAGCATCACTTTTCCCAAAGTATCTGTGTGTTACTCTTTGTTAACGTTACTCTGCCTCCATTTCCATAAATGACAGTGAATTAAGTTGACAAAAACCCCCTAATCAAATAAACATCTACAAAATGCCTGTTTATAAGATATCACTGTGGGAATGAGTTCAACAAAACGTCTTCCCTGACTCCTTACTAAGAATGGCTACATATTTTCATTTGGGGTGTGCATAACAAGAAACTTTAGAATCAATGCTGGGGAAGGGTGGCAGGGCTGGGTAGTGCTAAGTATCAAAGGACAGGGACACAAAACCAAACGAAATAATAAGGCGGACTGACTTCACATACAATGACAACTACTTATTCCCTCTTCTCCCCCTGTGGTCCCAAGATCACCAGGTGGGACGCTTCTGAGAGCTCGTTTAGAAACTTGGCCACTGTTGATATCGTTTCCACAAAAAATGTGGTCCACGTGTGTATCTGCCTTTAGGATACATGCAGTCCACTGGAAAGCTGCAGATGACCTGTAATTATTATTCACTTCTCCAGACACCACTGTTACTCTCACCTCCTTACCTTCTAAATTGATGAGAAATGTCCCTTTAAGCTCAACTGCACCTGCAGTTATTGCTCGTGGTTCCTGAGAGAGCAAAGTTGTCTGGGACGCCATCATTAATTCATTCAGCTGGGAGGTGCTGGATGTCTCCTCAGCTTGCAGCATCTGGAGATCAGCATTTGAAAGTTACTATCTCCATTAAATTTTTACCATAAACCAAGGTTATAAAAACAGATGCTGCAAATTCTTGTGTTTGGTGGGGAACCCTTTGGGACCATCAACTCTTGAGCTAATACTATTAATTACATCAATTCTTACCAGTATGAAAGGTTGTAACTAAAAACTTAAGATCAATAGTATTTATTAAGGATATGCTCTATGCCAGGAACTTCACTTTGCTAGATGCTAAATGTCCATCCAGTACTTCAAATCATCACAAAACATCTACAGTGCTTATCATCCCCATTTTACAAGTGAGGAAAGCTGCTCACAGGTTAACTTGCCAGAGGTTCTCAACCAGTACGTGGTGGAGCTGCAACTCCAGCCCAGGCCCGTCAGCCTCGAAGCCCACACTTTCTCCTGTATCATTACATGCTTCCTACATGAGGAGAGGGGTCAAGATACTGTCTAAACAAGGATCTGCTTCTGGCAATGCAGACCGACGGTGCAATCCAAATAATGCACAGAACTGTCTCAAACACACTGAAGTGGGATACTTGATAAGCACTATACATTTTTGCTGTAATTCTGATCTTCAAAATCAATATGTGAGCTAATACAAAATTCTTTAAAAAAAATTTCTGAGAAAACAGGAGATTGAAAGATTAATTTGACTTTAACAAATTCATACAATTAGTAATTGATCGATCCAGGATGCCATTTGACAGCCTAGTTAGTGTAATTCCCAAAGAAAATATGTTCACAGGTTTGAAAATCCCAATGTATTTTTTCCAATATAAATGATCCAAACAAGCTGTATTTTTCTCAGCTTATTACTCAGAACTAATGAAGTCAAAGGAAACACACCACGTTGACTAAAAGCCCAGTATGAGGCTGTGCAGCCCGAGCCAGGTCGCAGCCCCAGGGTCCTCAGCTTCCTGGCTCGAAAAATGGAGTCACGAGCTTTCCAACTTGTGGATTTTAAAATGTGAACATCTTACTGAAATCCTGTTATGTGATCAACGATCTTATGCCTACTAGCTATTTCAAGGCTCAAGTCTTAACCAACTTAATTATATTATTAGAAATTTAAATTGAACTTACCAACCAAATGAGATGGTCATTTTTTTTAGAAAACTGTATGATGCCACTAAAACTTTAAAAAAATACACTCACTGCCAATTTTCTTCTCAAGTCTTAAAACTAGAGAAAAATCCTGAGTCAACTGTCAAGTTACAAGCCCATCTGGCCAGTCAAGCCCTAAGAATCCCAAGGAGAAAGTTCTGCTGGCCCTTTTGGAAATAAAAAATAGGATAAATGCTTTGAGATCACATGATAATCTGCAAGAGCAAACGAATTTTCTTCAGCTCTCATGAGAAAAAGATGAAAATCCTTGTTTGGATTTGTTCTGAATCTGGTCCAGATGGACAAAATTCTCAGAAAACCAGACCCTTAACACAAAACTCCCAATTTCTGTGTCTTCTGAAAACACTGCCACCGAGTTACACGTCGCCTACTGTCTAAGCAGCCCTGAGGGCTTGCCTGTCAGGCAGAACTTCACTATGCCTTCCGTCCCAATCTATGAAGGAGTAGTAAGTAGCAACAGAGGACACATTTGCAAAAGAGAAGAAAAAGAAAGCACAGAGAATGAGGAAACAAAGAATCAGTGATAACACCAGGATTAGAAGACAGAAATCCTGATTTATAGTTTAAAAACATGTATTATTTACAGCAAGATTTTTAAAAACCAAATTTCAGCTGAAGCTGAACGGCACTAACACCGTTTCAAGAGAAACAGACTGCTGCTGACCTCTATGATCTCAAAAAGCAGTCCAGGCTCGATCACAATGATAACCTCGTGCTCGGCTGCGTTTTTGCCAGGGATGCTTCCCAGAAATGAATCTCTCATCGCACACGCACTCTCTATCGCCTCTTCCAACCCGGGCTTCTTCCAGATAGAGCTGGTTTTAATCCACCCAGTACGAAAAACACTCTTGGGTTCTTAAAAAGAAAAAAAGGCAAACTAATTTACACATATTCTAAACTATATATAAAGCTCTAACCATCAAATATTTACTATTCATGGGAAATAAGAACTGTTATTTACGGTAATTAGCATGGAGCCACCCTAAATGCCCTAAGTGCTTACCAAACATTTCTACCAACATGTGAAAACGTAAACAAAGGATAAGATAGACAGTAAGGTCTCAAAGGATGCCTGGAGGAAAAGAACATAGAAAGAAATATCCCAATATTACAGCAGTCGTCTCCGGGTTATAAGTAAGATCGTGAGTGACTTTTCATCCTCATTCTAAAATTCTTTTGTTTCTAATTTTCTGTAAGCTTAATAATATCAGGAAAAAAACTATTACAAAAATATTCACTAAAAGGCACTATACTTTATTTTAGTAAAACCTAAAATACATTTCTAACATTTATAAAGGTATTTAACAAAAAGTGATTTCTCAGTATTGTCGAGCTGCTAATACATTTTAGAAAACTCTTTAAGGTGACTCAGAGGCCATTCTGAAATTCATCCTACTCATCCACTAAACGATCAGGTCATAAAGCATTCACTGCAGATGAACAAGAGCCTCTTACAATGAAGTTGATAAAATTAGAAGTTGCACTCGCAGCCAGGACCTTTCTCATTAGAGAACAACTAAGAATTTCTTACCTTTAATATAAGGTACGTGCTGGAACACCTCCTCAGCCAAGTGAGGAAGAATGGGAGCAAAGGAACGAACCACCACGTCCAGAATTTCAGCCAAGGCAGTCTGACAGGAGCGCCGTCGCGGGTCGTCGGCACGTTCACAGTACAGCCTGGACAAGAACAGCCTGCTCAGCAGGTGACACTTTGTCTACCACGTGCCAGGGCGAGACCTGCCTCAGGCTGAGCTGGTCCTTACAGGGCCTAACCTATCGTCTGACTAAAGGACAGTACATTCCGTCATACGACTTTCCGGTAACATCCTCTGCTCCACTTGCCCCTTTCCAGGTGCGCCCACCTCCTCAAAACACTCTCACAGCCACGCCACGTCCAATCCCGCTTTTCAGAGGTAACAGCCAGACAACTACGCCCGAGGAAAACCAGTGAGTCAGCTGATGCTGCTTAGAATGTGCCTCCCCAGCCTCCCACCCATCAGTGTGCTAAGGGAAGGGTTGGGAGGCACAGTCCCGGTGGAAGCACCTTGAGGTGCTGAGAGGCCATGGCTGACGCCTCCCCTTGGCTGAGTTACAGGTAAAGCTCACACCATCACCTGCTCACTGGATCCAAGAATGAAGACTTAGCACCAAGCCTTCCTCTAAAAGGGTATCACTGATGTTACAATGTTATTACATTAACAATGGCCTGAATATTTCTCTCTCTCCTCCGTCAAGATCGCCAAACTCCTGAGAACAAGCACTATGCTCATCACATCATATTCACAGCCGTTACTTATTGGGCACCTCCTTTGTCAAACACAGCATTAAGCACAATACACATATTAAATTCTTTCATAGCCACATTATGAGGCAAGTATTATCATCACCATTCTACAGATAAAGAAACTGAGATCATAGGATAAGTTGCCCCAAATCATTAAGCTAGTGGGCGGCAGGGCAAAACTCCCTCATCAGACTCGACTCAAGAACCCAACTTCTTAACAAGGGCCCAGTGAGGCCCATCTTGCTCACCTCTGCTTTTCAACATCTGCCAAGCAAAGCAGACACTCAAGAAACATTTGTTGAGTATTTTAACATTCAGTCATACATACCTGTCTTTGATTATGCTGAAATAAAAGTTAGAGAGTTCTCTGGTATAAAATGCTCGCAAAAGCCGAACAACTTTTCCAAAATCATATTGCTTGTATGAATCGTTAATCTAGGGAACAAAGTCAAAGTAAGTTTGGAAGCTGGGATAAGCAAAGAAAAATACAAGTCATCATGAGCAAAATACATTTCTTCTCAAAATCTGTTTCAAAGGCAGGCAAATACAAAATAGGCAAAACACAAGAGCACTTAAGGATCTTCGAAACCTCATTTCTGGATCTCCAAGTCTACTATCCTCAGAAAACACTGAGCATTCTACTCTGAAAACTACAGAAGAACACTCATCAAAGGAAGAGAGCAGCTTTTAGATGATGAAATCACTGTTTTAAAACAGCAAAGAATGTAAATTACAAGTGTTCCCTCACTTATGCCTAAAAAGTAAAACTGGGCAAAAAATCTTCATGTATGACTCTGACTTAAGGGTACGC